ACACACGCTATTATCTCATGACCGTGACGCAGCTTCAACAATTAGTTTCAAACCGGAAGTACGAATTTGCTTGAAATAACGCAAAAACAACCAATTTACACTTTTTAGTGAAATATAGGTGTCCTAATAGTGTTTATAGCAGTGTGGGACACATATACCACTGTCAACAGCTCAACACATGTGTTCTGGTGTTTCGTGACCCTGCTGTTAAAGAAATCCCGCCACTGCACTGTCATCATTCAGTCAGTATTCTGAGGAGCTGAAGCTGATGGGGTAATAATACAACTGTTTCACCAAACTCAATACCTTTAACTACTGATGAAGCTTAATATGTGTTTCCACAGTATAAACATGTGTAAAAATAACTGTAATCAATAAAATGTGAGTAATATCAATCTAAATACATGCAAAATAGTCAGAAAAAGGTCAATTGTACTAGCTTTCTAGATATGATACAGATATCTCAACATATTTATCTAGATATAGCTAGTCTGTATTAGTTAAATAACAGTGAGTTAATGTACACACACACACACACACACACACTCAACCACACACACACATACACACACACACAAATGCTGATGGAGAAACACAAACAGCTCGATCTGCTGACGCTGCACACACACACACACACACACACACACACACACACACACACACACACACACACACACACACACACACACAACCACACACACACATACACACACACACACACACACACACACACACACACACACATTCGCTTCAGGTGCTTTCATTTGGAGAGGAGAGACAGTGTGTCCGCTGGTGTTTAATTAAAAATACACACTCCTGCATGTCCAATACAGCGTGAGGACTGACGCCCTGCTGCTGCCCAGAACACACAACAAAGAGCCCACGCTGATTAACTCACACACACACACACACATTCACTTACAGACACACCAATCCACAGGAGGTCTAGACCCGCCCACTGACTGCCCACTCAGCCAATCAGTTGCTCTGCCCACTCCAGAGCAGCATCTGATTGGCAGCTCTGACTCAGCAGATTTCTTTCTGTTTGTCTTCAACTCTTCTTAGTTTTTGAACTGAGACAACACACACACACACACACACACACACACACATCATAAATTGACCCTTAGTCTTCTTCACTCAACAGTGTAGATTAAATAAAACACAAGACACAATATAAACTATATAATTGCCCTATATATTCATCCATTCTCCTTCAGCTGAGTCCCTTTATTCATCTGGAGTCATCACAGTGGAATGAACCACCAACTATTCCAGCATATGTTTTACTCAGTGGATGCCCTTCCAGCTGAAACCCAGTACTGGGAAACACCCATACACACACATTCACATACACACTTATACACTACAGCTAGTGTAGTTGATCAGTTCCCCTATAGCGCATGTGTTTGGACTGTGGGGAAAACCGGAGCACCCGGAGGAAACCCACACCAACAGGGGGAGAACATGCAAACTCCACACAGAAACACCAACTGACCTAGCCGAGGTTAGTTTATATATATATATATACACATATAAATAAATAATTAATTATATTTATATTCATATATATTTCTAAATATGTTCAAATGTTTTAGTGCTAGTATGAAGAGTGTGTGTTCAAGGGTAATGATAAACACACACACACACACACACACACACACTCACACACACACACACACACACACACACACACACACACACACACACACACATGTCCGCTGCGGGGAATGGATTTCAGGCGTCTGCAGTGGAGATACAGCAGTCTTTGTGTTCACACACATCATGTGACCCACACCAAACACACACACACACACGTAATCCTCACACACTGTCATCAAGTGTTTATCAGCAACACAAACACAAACACAGTTCATTCAGCAGAAGCTCAATCTGACCCTGATGAATCTGCATGATTAATACACGGATCTGCTTATTGTGATTGGCCGTCAGCAGAAGGTGCTTGTTCATTGAGTCTTTACATACGCCACTGCACACACACACACACACACACACACACAAACACACACACACACACACACACACACACACACAATGACCATCCTGTGTCTTCATGAAAGATCACAAAGAGCCACAACACACAAACATACAAACACACACAACACACGCACACACAGCTTCTCTTCACTGCTCACACGCATCAATATTAGCATGTTTCAGTCTCTAATAATCCAAACAATCTTAAATCCACTTGTATTTTTTAATTGTTTGTGCGAAATAAATAAATAAATAAATAAATGAATAAATAAATGTGTAGATTAACAGAATATCTGAACTACTGTCAGTAATTAAAGCTGCAAGCAGCAATGAAAGGGACCTCGCACCCGAGATCACCGCCGCACAGTGCCCTTAGACTGACAGAGAACAGCGGACAATAATAATTTAAGCTGATAAATATAAAAAACATGACGATGTCAGCGATTTGTGCCAAGCTTTCTTCTGTCAGCAGGTGGCGCTGTGACTGCAGCTGAATATTGACATGTGGACGCCTTCAGTACAGGACTATTATCTCAGACGTGAACGCTGGGGCAGATTGGACACAGTATGCCCGAGTTATAACTTCCGAAAGCACTAAACACTGAAGTTTGTCAGTCCAGACACACTAAACTCTACATCTTCACAATCTAACATCACTAAAGCCATGCAAACATGCAAACTCTATGAGGAGTTCTTCAATTGTGCATTGGTGGCGCTATCGAGTCATACTGCCACATCACACTGACATCGTTAGCTCTGTTACCATCATATTAGTGCTGTTATTTTATTATTTTTTAAATTTATTTTTATCTGGGGTCGCCACAGCGGAATGAACCGCCAACTATCCCAGCATATGTTTTACACAGTGGATGCCCTTCCAGTTGCAACCCATCACTGGGAAACATATATACACACTCATTCACACACACACACACACACACACACACACACACACACACACACACACACACACACACACACACACACACACACACTCATACACTACGGCCAGTGTAGTTGATCAGTTCCCCTATAGCGCATGTGTTTGGACTGTGGGGGAAACCGGAGCACCCGGAGGAAACCCACACCAACACGGAGAGAACATGCAAACTCCACACAGAAACACCACTTGAACCAGCAACCTTCTTGCTGAGAGGCGATTGTGCTACCCACTGCGCCCCCTTGCTGCCCTTAGTGCTGCTCAGCCGCTTTTAAAAACCAATAATGAATTGAAGATGAGTTGGCAGTGGTTTAGGGCAGGACAGAGGTGTTGTAGATCAGGTAGTGTGTCTGTGAGACGGCCTCTCGTGGATCATTTACATAGTGTAAAATACCACATCAATTTCAAGACACAGAATCTTAAAGCGGTGTAGAGTGAACGGTCCAGCGGTCTGCAGACGTCGACAGTCATGCAGAGTAAACCAGCAATCAGCAGCAGAGCAAACCCTCAACACTGACACACTAGAGGACACGTGCAGGAGAAACTGCAGCAATCATGACTATACCTCTCAATATACCTGCTGAAGAACAATCACACAGCTAGTCCATGCTGTTATGAGCTCTAGGCTGGATTACTGTAATGCTCTGTTTGCTGGCTGCCCAGCATCCTCTATTAACAAACTTCAGCTAGTGCAACATGCAGCAGCCAGAGTTCTCACCAGCTCTAGAAATATGATCACATCAGCCCAATGTTCTCCTCCTGACACTGGCTGCCTGTTCAGTTTCATATTGAATTTAAAATATTACTCCTCACCTATAAAGCTGTAAATAATCGAGCTCCTGTTTATCTAACCAACCTTCTGTCTCGCTACAATCCAACCCGCTCTTTAAGATCTCAAAACTCAGGGCTTCTGGTAGTGCCTAGAATAGCAGAGTCCACTAAAGGAGGTTGAGGCTTCTCATTTATGGCTGCTAAACTCTGGAATAGCCTTCCTGATAATGTCCGAGGCTCAGACACACTCACACACTGTCATTATAAAGACTGACTAAAAGTCGAAACATCCATAATTTCACGGTTCCCCTTTTTCCAGATAAATTCAGTCATTCAGCATCGACCAGCAGGACTATTTTTATATTATTTTATTTTATAACAGTTTACTTATATCCTAATCAGCTTCAGTGTTATCAGTATTATATCAGTTTCCTGCTGAAACAGTGATGATGAATGAGCTTTCAGCCATTAAAAACATCAAAGTTGAATGAGAATGAGCCGGCTGTGTCTTCTTTCAGTGCAGGCCTTTATTTCTGTACAGCACGGCGTGCTTCATTATTTATGGCTGTGTGTTCTGTGAGGTTTTTATTTTGAAGAAAAGCAGAGAAAAAATCATTTTCAAAACAAAAAAGGCAAAACGTCGAGGGTTAGTTTGCTTAAAGTTAAAATATCCTCATGTTTTATTCTCTCTTCTGTGTTTCTTCTGTTGAACACAAGAGAAGATATTTTGAAGAATGTTCCATGGCAGCTAAATGACTGAGAATCCGTAAATGAAGACTGAATGTTCATTTTTGGGGTGAGAATTCTCTTTAACAACAATAAAATACGACAATAATAAACAATAAATGTTTACACTTCTTTAGTTGTGAACTTGACTTCATATTTTTTTTCTTGTAAAAATAATATTTATAACTGTATTTGTATGAAAACAAACAGATGAATGACAATAACAATAAAGCAATAATACACAAATAAAACAATAAATAACATTTCTGCTGGGGAAATGTATATATGACTGCTCAACTTACAAATCAGACATGATTGCTCAACATGCACTATATCAAATCAAACATTTTAGACATTTTGAGTATTTATTTATTGAAAATGAGCTGATAAATAAGCTATCCTCATTTATTCCCGGCTGTATTCTTTTCAAATGTGTCTTTATTTCTGATGTATTAGTACTGTTATTACATTAATGATCTGGTGTACTGCTGCAGACAGTCATGGGATGTCTAGAGGTATGTGTTTGTAAAATGCTTTATGGATGAAAAATAACATCAAAATATTTCTGTGATTATTATTATTGATGTTAAATTTGCTTTATAGCTGAAAATCCTGAATAAAAGCCGACTGATGCTTCATACACACACACACACACACACACACACACACACACACACACACACACACACATATCAAAATGCTTTAAATGTATAAAACAATGCAAAAATACACATACTCCTATTAAATTAATGATGATAGATTTGCAGCAGAATAACGGTGAGTGAAAGCCGACTGATGTTTCACACAGACACACACACACACGCGCGCGTTCATCTGTGTGACCCAGTTTCGCCTGCAGGAATATTGGAGCAGATTCTGATGCTATAGCCTAAGTCTGATATCACACACACACACACACACACACACACACACACACGCACACATACACGCGCGCACGCGAATCCACGGAGACGCGCGTGTATTAATGAGCGCTTCACATTAATAAAGCTCTTTGTCATCAATGAACGGAATATGCACGCACCTGAATGAAGATGAAGATGATGAAGAAGAAGCGCGCACGAGCGGAACTCATGATCGGTCGGGAATCGATCGCACTCTTTGATTCTCGGCGTCGCGCATCCGAACAATAGCGAGTGATGGAACTGCGCTCGGGTTTCCGAACCGAGCCGAACTCGCCCGAGTGTCCCGGTGTCCGCCGTCTCGGTACCGCGGTGCGGGTTCGGCTCTGCGGCGGCTCGGTGAATGATGGAGACACAAGGAGCGTATGGCGCGGTTCTGTCCGGCCGTGTGTGTGTGTGTGTGTGTGTCCGCAATCCTCCAACGCGCACTACCTAGGGAGTTAGACTACATAATGCGAACTATCTAGTGATCGAACACCGGCTGTGATGCTAAATAATGCGCACTATTTAGTGATTGAAGAGCGGCTGTGATGCCGAAGGATGCGCGCTTTCTTGAGAGTGAAGATCGGGAATGAGGCTGAAGGATGCGCACTATCTAGTGAGCGCAGCAGCGATTGAGACACGGAGATTCTGTCGCCCCGCCCTGAATCTCTGAACACTAGAAGACTGAATCTCTCATCAAACCTGCTTTACATCATCCTCATCATCATCCTCATGCTCAGCTCACAGACAGACACCCCTGAACACTGCACTGCTTATTATGCACATTCAGATTATGCCTATTTTGATTATTATGGGTTGGTTTAAATGTAGAAGTGTCTTTATTTGGTTAGTCTATTGGTGTTTATTGATGTAGTTTATTGTAAATGTGTCTTTAGTATAGTTTTTATTGTTTTATTTTTACATCAATTTGTTTTTGGATGTTTTGTGTCGTTAATTTGGTTGTAGCCATTTGCTTTTGTTTTTTAATGATGATTGAATGTAAATTAGTCTTTAATTGGTTGTGGTATTATTGGTGTCTGCTGTTATGGTTTATTGTAAATTTGTCTTTTTATTTGTTTTTTATTGTTTTATTTAAATGCTGATGTTAATTTGTATTTATGTATTTGTTGTATTGATGTCTAGTGTTGTAGTTTAGTTTACGTTTGTCGTTTTTATTTGGTTTCTGTATTGCTTTTATTGTTTAATTTGATTGTTTTGATGATGATGATGATTTGGTGTGAATTTGTCATTTTATTTGTTGGATGAATAGCCACTCTATTGGTATTGGGGATATAAATAAACAATAACAAACAAATAAACAAACAACAGCACCAACAAAGAAAATCTGAAGAGTTCGAATGCAAAAGCCTTTAAATGGCATCTGAAATTTGCATCAATAATAAACATTGTGTGTGTGTGTGTGTGTGTGTGTGTGTGTGTTCAGTTATTGACATTTATGATGAAGCACATGTTATTTTTATATCCTTTAAAGAGAAATACCTCAACATAAGCACAGGAGGATGAGGAAAAATGAGCATTGCAGAATCAATTTCTGATGCATTTAGAGGCTTTAACAACTGAACAGTTCAACCTGACACAATTCTGTCTGGATTTAAAGCAGCTCAAGCAATCCAAAGTTAAACATATAATATATATTAGGGGGAGGCATGGTAGCTCAGTGGTTAGCACTATGGCCTCACAGCAAGAGGGTCGCTGTAAGAAGCAAGTTTGCATGTTCTCCCCGTGTTGGTGTGGGTTTCCTCCGGGTGCTCTGGTTTCCCCCACAGTCCAAACACATGCGCTATAGGGGAACTGATCAACTACACTGGCCGTAGTGTATGAGTGTGTGTGTGAATGAGTGTGCATGGGTGTTTCCCAGTACTGGGTTGCGGCTGGAATGGTATCGGCTGTGTAAAACATATGCTAAAATAGTTGGCGGTTCATTCCACTGTGGGGACCACTAATAAATAAAGGACTGAGCTAAAGAAAAATGTATTAATAATTATATAATATTTACACCTTCTAAAGAAAAAAAAAATAATGAAAGTGTTTTGAATCATAACACAATTTAAGTTTTCTCTAATAATAATATTTGTATGAGTGTTTAATTAAATTATATATATATATATATCACTTGGAAATAATATAACTTTGAGTCTATTCCTATTTGTGACTGTCCGCCTCCTGAATCACACATCCAGCTTCAGTAATCATCAGATAATCAAGTGTAATCTTCATCTTTACTGTGTGTTTACTGAGCTAAATAAACATTTGCATGAGATATTCAGAGTTCAGATCAATCTGTAAAGCGCTGATAGATAAAGCATGTGATTTGGAAACCGGAAGGCATTGATGTGTGTGGTTATTCTTCTCTCAGTATTGTTCAGCAGATGAATGATGTGTGGCCTGATCCTGTCATACTTCAGTCAATTCACTCTTTAAACACAAGAATACCATAAAACAATGCAGTAAATTGTGTTTTAAAGCACAGCATGATGGGAAATGTCATCTCTGTTGTAGTTTTAATAAGATTAACAATAAGTAAATCAACAGTTAATAACAGAATCACATGTTCATTCTGCATTATTCTGCATGAATATTGGGCTCAGTTTAGTGTCAGCTTGACATTTGTTGTTAGCGTAAACCTTTTACTTACATGAACAACACTTCATCACTGTTTTCTGTCCTCCACAGCTCATATTCATCTGCATATTGTCAATTTATAATAATTAATGTTAATAATAATGTGAGAAAATAAAACAGCCCAAATTAAACCAACAACTACAGTCCATCATGAAACAAACACTGACACATTGTTCATTATTACAGTGTGTGCCGGTGTTAGCTATTCCCAACAGATCTGCTTATTAAAACAAGTCTCATACACTTTCCGTCTTATACTTCAGACACACACACACACACACACACACACACACACACACACACACACACACACACACACACACACACACACACACACACACACCGCTGCCCTCTTACCAGCAACAGAGCAGCTTTACAGCCGCCGGCCAATCAGCATCCGGCAGACGGGAGCTGCTCTCTGATTGGCTGAGAGCTTCTCCACGGTGATGGAATGTGGACAAAGGGTTTCCCTGACGATCTTCAGTCTGAAACACAATTAAACACAGCAGCGTCAGTCTGATCACACACACACACACACACACACACACACAGCGGATAACGCTAATATAAACACTGATCATCTGTGTGTGTCTGAACCAGCTGTATCTATCAGACTGTTTGTGTGTGTGTGTGTGCATGTGCGTGTGTTTGTGTGTGTGTGTGTGTGTGTGTGAACTGGCTGTATACATCTGTCTGTGGCTGTCTGAAGCGGCTGTGTCCTTCAGTCTGTGTGTGCATCTGACTAAACTGGTTATGTCCATCAGTCTGTGTGTGTGTGTGTGTGTGTGTGTACAGCAGCTGCAGTAAACCTGAAACACAGATGAGTGTCTCCCTCTAGTGGTGAATCATTTATGATATATTAAAGAGCGTTTCATTAATTTAAGTCCTCCTCCGGCCATCACTTGCTCACCTTATTCTGCAGCTTTAGTTCTTGTTGTTCAAAACACACCAGCCTTTCTTTTCTTCTGTGAAACAAATGCAGATGTTTAGCACAATGTTCATGCTGCTCTTTCACAATGACAAGAGATGACAAGATCAAGGCTCATAGAGTCAGCTCAGACTAAAACTAAATTAATTCATTCATCATTTAAATGTTATTTAAATCTTGAAACAAACACATATAAAATATATATTATTATTATTGCTTTACTTTGTTTTTTTGTCTTCTGCTTGTGTTGTAAAGCATCACTTAAAATGTGCTACATAAAATAAACTTTATTATTAGTAGTATTGTTGTTATTATTATTAATGCTATCATTATTATTATTGGTGTTGTTGTTATTATTATTATTACTATAAATGTTATTATTGCTAATAATATTATTATTGTTGTTATTATTATTGTTTTTTTATAAATGTTATTATTAATAATTTTGATATTATTGTTGGTTTTATTGTAAATGTTTTTATTATTATTGTTATTACTATTGTTTTATTGTTGTTATTATTGTTTTTATTCTAAATGTTATTATTGTTGTTATAATTATTCAAAATGTTATTATTATTATTGTTGTTATTATTATTATAAATATTATTATTTATGTTATTGTTATTTATTATTATTATCATCATTATTTTAAATGTTATCATTATTGTTGTTGTTATTGTTATTATAAATATTTTTATTATCATAATTATTATTGTTATTATTACTTATATTAATGTTATTAATATTGTTGTTATTGTTGGTTTTATTATAAATGTAATTATTATTATTATAACATTTTTATTGTTATTATTAGTATAAACGTTATTATTGTTGTTATTACTATTACTGTTATTATTATAAATCTTATTATTATTGTTGTTATTATTATCATCATCATTATAAATGTTATTATTATCCTTATTATTTTATTATTGTTTTTTGTATTAATGTTATTATTAATATTGTTGTTGCTATTGTTATTATTATTCATATTGTTGGATTTATTATAAATGTTATTATAATTATTGTTATTACTGTTGTTTCTACTATTATTATTGTTGTTTTTATTATTATAAATGTTATTATTGTTATTATAAATGTTTTAATTATTGCTAGAATTATTGTTATAAATGTTATTATCATTATTGTTATTATTATTATTATTATTTAAAATGGTATTATTGTTGTTATTAATATTATCATAAATATTATTATTGTTATTTTTATTGTTATAAATGTTTTTATTATTGTTGTTATTATATTATTATTATTATTATTATTATTATTATTATTAGACTTTCTCCTGAAAAGAAAATATATAAGGAGAGACAGTGTGAAAAATAAGAGTGTTGTTGTGTCGTTGCAGTGTTATTAGTGTGTAAACGCAGGCGTACACTAATGTTGGAGCAGGTTCACCATAAACTGTTTAAAGCATCCTAAAAGGTCTTTCTGAGAGGATCAGGCCAGTGTGTGAATCTGTACTGTGTCCAGACTCCAGGAGCACTTCTGCAAATCACATTCAAAGGAGGATCAACTGTTCTCTGTGTGTATGTGTGTGTGTGTGTGTGAGTGAAAGTGAGTGTGTGAGAGTATATGTGTGTTTATGTAAGTGTGTATTTGTAGGTGTATGTGTGAGCATATGAGTAGGTGTGTATGTGTGTGTGCGTGCATGTGAGTGCATGTGATGTATGTGAAAATGTGAATGAATGCATGTGTGAGTGCATGTGTGTGTGATCGAGTATGTGAGTATGTGTATGTGTATGTAAGTGTAAAAAAGTGTGTGTGTGTGTGTGTGTGTATGAACGAGCAT